GGGACAGGGGAGACCACACTGGGGATGGGGGACAGCTCCTGTGGAGTGGACTCAGTGGAGCAGAGGCAGCATGGTAGAGGAGAAGACAGCATGGGTGTTCAGATTGATTCAAATCCTGCCTTCTGCTGTGTGATCCTCGGCCAGTTTCCTAACTTCTCTGAGCCTCAGTTTCCTTCAGCATAGAATGGAGAGCTTACCCTGGGAGGATGAAATAAGACACAGCACACGGCCGAGGCCAGCAGCCTGGGGTCTGCAGATGCTTCCCAAGGACATGTTCTTGACCGATCTCCCTGAGGGCAGAGACCAAGTTTAGCTTCTCATTGCTCACTATGCCAGCCCAGTGCCTGGCACATACTAGGTGGACAGTAGAGGTTTAGTGAATAAATGAATTAAAAATTTCCAGGGAGGAATCTGGCTCTGGGTATCCAAATGGGCCTCTCTTTTCATACTCACAGGTAATCCTATTTCTCCCCCATAGATAATTTACAGATCATTGAAGATTTGCTTTGTTTTTTTTTTTTGTTTTTTGGTAAGGGGATCTTAACCCTTGACTTGGTGTTGTCAGCACCACGCTCAGCCAGTGAGCGAACCGGCCATCCCTGTATAGGGTTCCGAACCCGTGGCCTTGGTGTTATCAGCACCGCACTCTCACCAGTGAGCCATGGGCCAGTCCTGAGGATTTGTTTTGTGAGGCTGTAGGTAAAATGGTGAGGATCTTGGAGTCATATTGCCTGGGTTCAAATCCTGTCTCTGCTAATCCTGTAACCTGGGGCAAGTTACTGAGTCTCTCTGTGCCTCAGTTTCTTCTTCTGTAAAATGGTGATACTAATCATACACACCTTATAGGGTTAATGTGAGGATCAAATTAATTAAAACACATAAAGTCAAAACAGAGCCTGGTGCACAGTAGCTGCTCAGCAGTTTTCACTGTGTTTTACAGTGACTTCTTGGCCTAACAGGGTTCTCTAGGCCACTGACGGCCAGGGGGCCTTGGGTGGGGAAGGACCAGGGAAGGTGGGGTCAGTGTGTCCCCCTGCTGTCCTAGGTCTTAAGTCTCATGCCCACCCTCAGCACAAACGGTCTCCGCTCTTCACCCTCTATCTACCCAGAGACTCAGGATTTATGGCTGCCTTTTGGGTCCCTTATGCTGTGGAAAGTAAGCAGGTTTGGGACCATCCACAATGAGCTTAAATACCACATCCACTAATTATTAGATGCATGACTTTCAGCAGAGTCACCCAAACTCTCTGAACCTGAGTTTCCTCACTGGTGAAAAAATTAACACCTTCCTTGCAGAGTATTGTAAGAATTCATCCATTTATTCATTTATGTGTCCCAGAAATGTAGATTGAGCATCTCCAACATGCCAGTATTGTTCTTGGTTCTAGAGACATGGCACTGAGGGACGGGGGGTTGTTACCTATGATAAACAAAATAAATCAGTAAAATATTTGATATTTTTAGGGGGATGGCTAGCCGGCACGGGAATCCAAATCTGTGATCTTGGTTGTATAAGGCTGCGCTCTAACCAACTGAGCTAACCGGCCAGCAAACCAGTAAAATATTAAGCACAGTAGCTAGTGATAAGTGCTAACAAGAAAGACATAAAGCAGGGAGCAAATTCGAGTGTGGGGGAGGGGCTGCTGACATTTAGATGGAGTGGCTGGGAAAGGCCTCCCCCAGAAGGTGAGTTTTGAGTAAAGGCTTAAAGGAAATGAGGAGCCATCCAAGAAATTCCTCGGAAGAACATTCTGGACAGAGGACCAGCAAGTACAAAGGCCCAGAGGTGGGACTTGGGCCATCAGAGAGGGGTGGGGGGGCTGAGGGGGGAGTGGCAGGGGGC